TTTTTTTGGTTTCGTACACAGCATTAGCCAATCGAAGACGCCTCGTAGGCAGTTTATATTTGTGAGGGTAAGATGGACGCAGGACATGGACTGGCGGGTGACATCCGCCAGGCCGTGGCAAGTGAGCAATTCGACCTTGGAGGATTCACTGAAGCTCGCACACGTGATTTGGTTGTGGCAGCATTTGGAACACCATTGACGGCTCCAACCGAGATGATTCGCTTCACGTTTGTTGTTGGCGGCGGTAAACTTGTTCGTGCGCGGTACTCAGAGCAGTTACCTAAGTGGATGACAGCCGCGCTACGAGAGGTTGGGTACGTGATGGCAAGTTGCTCTGTAGTCTTATTTGTGTGATAGTTTTGTGGAAGATCGGTCATCTGCCTGTACATTGGACAGTCAAGGCACGTACAAGCAGCAAAAGGACACAGGGGCAAACTTATTGACGATTCAAGTGTTTCCCCGTTTGGCGTTGGCACCGTCATCAACCTATGACTGCGAATTGGAAGACAAGCAAGCCGCCGTCGATGTCGATTCGCCTGAGTACTTGTGCATTTCGAGTGATTTGGAAACGTTCCAGCGCATGATTGTGCCAGCGAAAGCACGGTCGTGGGTACAAAAGAAGCGGCTACTCAAGGCGCTTCAAGCAAGCATGCAAGCTTTCCAGCATTTAGAAGAAAAACTCGTGCGCGGGGAGAACTTGCTGCCCGTGGAGCAGCTAATGTACGACGGAAACATTGGGCTGGAAGTGAACACGGAGAAATGCACATGGCTACAAGGCGAAATCAAACGCATGGTGGACGAGGGACATTTGACCAAAGCAGAAAAAGAGGATGTCCTTGCTACATTGCAGCAGAACTTGGAGCACGTTGCTGCGGAGATCGACGCAGCGTCTGGGAAGAAGAAAGACAAATTGTTGGAAAAACAATCGTCGATCCAAGCGCGACTAGCTCTCGTCGAAGGACACAACGCAAACGTTGTATATCGTCTGCGAAAGAGCGCTGACATCGTCAAGTTGCGCGTGGAGTTATTGGCGGTACTTGCTCTGCAAGAGAAGGAGCGCAGTTTGAGCTTGACGTCGGAAGATATGCGACGACTCGAAGGGCGTCACGCGTTGGAGAGCACGATTGCCGACTTGGAAGAACAAAGTCGCGAGTGGTTTGACGAAGATTTCGACTCCAAATGTGTGTTGGACGAGAAGGAGGCCGAGGCCCAGTACAAGAAGAAAAAGGCGACAAAGCCCAGTGGTGCAAAAGGAGGTGGCAGCGCCGCGTCCAGTTCAAGCTGGGCGACCATTGGCAAGAAGAAACCTGTTGCGAAGGCTGCCAAACCCAGCGGCGGTAAAAGCTCGGGTTTTGCAGCAGCATTTGGAAACGATTCAGACAGTGATTGATGCTTGAACTAGTCGGCGTACTTCCCCTGACGTGCTACTTGAATGCAACAATCAGTATGCTCGATATGATGCCACGACGGCGAATGGTGACGTCACCGGTTTGTGTACTTTACAAGCAGTTACGAGTGAAACGGGCAACAGTTAGACTGATGTGGCCATATCAAGGCGCACACCGTACTTGCTGCCATCATGATGTGGTGGCACAGCCTATCGCTCGCATCCTTGATTGCTTCGCGGGACATTGTTGTTGCCATTGGAGGTGAAGGGTACGTAGTCGTTCCATCGCAGCGCAACCAGAACTTTGCTTGCTGTGGCGGGTGTTCGTCTGGCGTCCGTGCCGATGCGTCGCTCTTGCCCCGTGGGGCTCGCATTGTCCTTTGGGACGCCACGGTAAAGGTAGCTCCATCCGATCAATGCCGAGTGACATTTCCGTTTGAGCCTTCCAACGGCGAGGTAGGGCAGGCCTTCAGAACAGAACACACTTCCGACTCGTTGTAGCTTCCTGGATCCAGGAGAGTTCGCAGCGGCAAACTTGTCGGGTCGTCCTTTCCCATTGACCATGACGCCGATGCCCTGTGCTGTCAAAATGGCGGCCAATGCTCGCTATCCGAAGAAGACGCGACTGGAAGGTGTCATTCGAGCAAAATTTCACTTTGACGTAGCATGTTGCCGACGCAGGTGCGATTGCGTCGTGCAATACGGATATGCAGGCGCTTCCTGCGAGCTCAGTGGTGAGTGAATCCCCTCACAGGGTTTCGGGGTTTCTGGGCCTCACGCTGAGCGTATTAGTTTACGACATTGCTGCGTCAAACAACTCAGTACCGAGGAATCTGCTGCGTTTACATCATGATGGATTTGACGTTAGCGGCTTTCTCCGTCTACCTTTGTGCCCAAGCAGTTTGCGATCCAGCTGCCGGACTTACGGCATGCGCTGGAATCATTCCCCGTCACCGAGCCATTGCTGCAGTAACTGACTGTCTTTCGGGTTGACATGGTCGTCATGGATATTCTGTCCAGGGCACTCTTGTCCTCGGCGAGCTCCAACGGAAGCGATGCGATGGATCCGAGCCTGTTGCTGTATCGAAAGCGTGTTTTTCCACCCGCGGCTTTGGGTGTCGCTGCATCGATGGGCCTCGCTAGCATTTTCATATTACTGTCTTTGGTCAAGTGCTGTATCAAGCCACGGATCTATTCCATCTTCGAAAAAATGGTCACGATGCTCCTTATGCTTGGCCTTGCATTCGTCGCAGGTACTTGCTCGCGCCTTTTAGCGAATATGAATATCCTTTCCATTCTCTAGCGACGTGCCTGACATGGGCAGGCGAACAGTGGCTCAACTTGCACCAGCAGTCGACTAACCTCACGGCCCTTCTCAATGTGTCCCTGCCTTCCAACGTCGGATACTTTTTCGCAACAGTTCGTATTGCTTCAGGTTTCCCCAATCTTACTCAACGCTAGATGTTGACGCCCTTGGCGGCAACCATGCAAGGCCAGAATTTCACGTCCATTCCAGCCTTCCAGAAACAAACTGCCGCCCAAATGGAGCTTTACGCTGAGCTCAATCAAACAGGTTCCTTTTGTACGGCCGCATGAGCTCTATTTGTCTCACACATGTCTTTTTGAAGACCTACAGGGATTATTTCAGCAGGCGCTGGAGCCTGTGAAAGCTGTGGCCAAACAATTTCCCACCGCCACACGTTGTGAAAATGTCGTCATCGTTCGAAGCTCGTTCAGCGTCATGTCAGTTGGTGCAGCAACCGGATGCTTTCAGTGCCCGAAATGTGCAGCGATTACGGCGAAGTACGTTGTCGTTGATGTCTCGAGTGTGGTCATGTCGGCCTATGATTTCAGCATCCAACAAGTTGAGCTCGATTGGTTTCGGGGTGTACAGGCCATCCACTTCATTTTGTTTCAAAGCCATGTCAACCTCATCGAGTTCTCCACGCTGGCGCTCGAGCCCCAACTCGACGCATTTCAAAAGTCGCTTCACTACACAAAGGAAGCGGTGGAGGTGCACACCCAACGGTTAAGTGTCATGTTGGCGTCCTTGGTAGACTGAAAAGTCTTTCGATTCAAATCTGCTCACTGTGTCCTAGACACACTCGTTCGCCCTCTTGCTCGACTACGGGTTGTATACGTGGTGGGCCTGTTCCTTCGTCACATCTGTCACGTGTGTGGCCGCGGCAATTGTGGGGATCAAGTACAAGTCAGGGGTCGTTGCAAAGGGAGCGAGCTTTTTGGCCCAGGTTTCAACGCTCTTGGGTAAAGCAAAACCCCAGTTTCATCTTTCAACTGTAGATGTAGGATTTGGGCTCACGGGGGTGGCATGGTCCTTGGCATTTTGCGCGCGAGATGGTATTGAGTTGCTCCAATCATTCGACCAAAACGCCACGGTGCTTTTTCCCGATGCCACTGTCTCCATCGGTGTGAAGCACCTTCGACACGTACGAAAAGGAAGTGACTCTGTATCGTAGGGGTTTCGAATCTCTTGCATGATCAGTCCCTTGTAGCCAACCACTCTTTGACCCAAGTGAGTACGCATGTAAGAAGAACGCACGACTGATACGTGAGCAGCTGCTGTCGTTTGCAGATATTGTAAAAGTGCCCCCCCTTGCGACGCCACAAGACCTGTACGCCCCTCCGAGTCGATATGATTTTGCAGCGTTGTTTCGATTTGATGGACTCGTGGACCTCCAAGCCCGCTTTGACCCAACCAACCCAACTGTGCTGGAGTCACTCTTTTCGTGGGACGAAGGAATTGTGGCGTCAAACAAGAACCTATTGACCACGTTAATCGACGGCAATCAAACCACGCCGTCGCCGTACGCCGGCACATTGGTCAACCTTACAGCCCCTCATACCATGACATCGTTGCTCTCGACATTCAATGCTACGTGGCCGTCGCTGACCACAACTGCCAGTACTGCCCAAAACGAACGCATCGCATCACAATGGCTCGTTTGTACAACGTTCGAGATGCGGCGACGGGATCTCCTTGACTACGTTTCAAACGTAAGTAGTTCCTTGGCTCTCACCCGGCCCGTCATCGACGCCATCCAAGCAAACACGTCCCGTTTGGAGGCACTCGAGTACCAACTAAAGGCGGGGATGGAGTACTATACAAAACATATCCAGCGTCTCAAGCTTGCCGATTGTGGATATAACGGGAATTGTGGTACATGCTCCATCCATCAATACATGACTGATCTCTGCGAGCTAGTGTGGGCGCGCTCCATCTGGAACTCCATGGTGGTGGAGTTGATGCTTTTGGGGAACTCTGCAGATCTGGCGACGACTTGTTTTGGGGCTGCAGCGGTGTCGCAATTGCTCTGTGCCATGTTTGCGTCGTGTTTTGCAACGCGCATTCAAAAGCCCAAAGTCAAGATCTATGTATTTGAGGAAGAAAAGAACCCACGACAAGAAGGAAAGATGAGTTAACTCGATAAACGTCGTCGCACCGCCATCAAAGCCTCTCCCAAAAGATTCAACCCTGGCCACTTTTCAGGGTGCGTGACGTCATTGTCAGTCGTAGCCAAACCGATGCCCCAAATTTTGTCCGTCGCAGTTGCATCCACTAGAACACGGTCGTCTGTGGCCAAGAGGAGTTGCTTCAAATGGATGTTCGTGGGACTGCTGAACTTGGCAAAGTTACCTGCTTGCACTATCGATGCCCGGTTGGCGAGCCATAGCTCTTGGTTAAAATTTTTCGCTTGCCGGCCGAGTGATTTCGTTTCGTGGGGGTCTGTCGTGGCAAGGATTCGTTCTCGAGTGTCTATGTCGCCGAAGAGTGCAGCTTTCTGCGCCATCATGTAGTGCTCGGCTGTGGCGTATGTGACATTGTCGACTTGGAATGGAGCTGGGAAAGCTTGACTGAGGAAGGTAGCTTCGACGTTTTGGCCCGTTGACGCAGCAGGATCCTGGCCAAAGAAGACGTGGAAGGAGCGAGGCACATCCCGCTTAGCAGCCCCGCAAGTCGTCGACGGATTGCATGCAACCATAGCGTCGATGGGAGATCGGACACAACAATCGACGATCGGATGGCAATTATTTGTTCAACCAATCAAGTCGCTAACCTGACAGGTCTAGAAACCCCGAAACCCCCAATTGAGCTGAAGGCGAGGCGAGGCCCCGATACCACAGCCGATCAAGCTGCCATCCCCGAGCCGAATGAACGGCGCCTCGGGGTTTCGGGATGTCGTGTTGGTTGAGAGGTGGATTACGGTGGTTATACGCATTCGTTCTATGACGACTTGTTGGAACATTGAAGGATGCGTCGCACATTCATGAGGGCGAACCCAAGGAGATTTTGTCCTCGCCATTCGTGGGGTTTGTGGGCCTTTTCGTGCTTGGATGAGAGTCCAATGCCCCAAATACGATCGCGGGCGCTGGCTTCGACGAGAACATGTTTCTTTGTGCCCAAAAGATAGGCTTTTAGCGCCTCGTTCTGACCAAACTTGGCCAAGTTGGCCCGAACGACAATATCGACTCGATGGCGACACCACACGTCTTCGTCAAAGTTTCTCACACTGCGACCGTACGCTTTTGCGGTGGCAGGGTCCCTGGCTACGAGGATATCGCCCAGGGTCTCATCGTCATGGAACAAGCGAGCTTTCTCGGCCATCATGAAATGCTCAGCTGTTGGATACATGATTTCGTCGACGGTAAAAGGTGCGTCATACCACTGGCTAAAGCAGGCGCTCGTAAGGTCACAGGTTGGCTTGTGGCCATAGAAGAACAAGTAGGAGAAGTGCTCGCCATCTTCCAACGCCGCGCAAAGCTCGTCCCTGGATGTAGGTAGCATTTTCAAAACTGAGTCTCTGCACTATACAATCTCATGAAAGACCATCACTCTCACAAACATCAGCTGGCACCCATGGACGACCTCGTGAAAAGATCGCTTGGCAGGTTGCGCTCTTTGTTGCTGGGGAGCTTGTTGGACAGCCTTTTGGGTTTGCTTGGCAGCGGACTTGGCGGGCATGGTCGAAAGCAAACAGATTCAAGAATGAACACCACCCACTGAACGTACTCAACAACACGCACGCCTGTATTTTTAGCCTTCCGGTGCACCCGGACAACGCCGCCTTTCAACACTTACCGGGCGAGACTGCCAATCGAAACGGGCCGCTCGGCTGCTGCCAGATCGCCACGCGCGTGCGATGTAGCCTCCGGCGCCCAAGATACAACACACTCGCCATGCGACTGGACGTTCCTGGCGACGACGTCAGACCACCTCGGGAGGACTGGCTCCAGCTTCGAGGTGGACGACAACCGGTGCAAGTACCTGCTGCTGTACGAGGCTGCTAGAACATGGTGGACGCACTCCGTCGCTGTCGTGGTGTAGGGCAGGAGTGACTTGTGTCCGTCAAAGGAACAGAGCACAGCTGTGTGGACTGGAGGATGCAATCCAAATCGATTGAATAATGTGAGGCTATCCTATCGTCGTCTACGTGGCGAGCTTGGCCCGGCGTTGGTTGCCGTTGGCTGTGATGTGTTTGGTCGGTTGGACCTTTTGCTGGTGGGCAGACTGGGCTTTGGTCGGCGTTTGTTGCTTGTTGCCCTTTTGGTTCTTGGTTTGCTTGACGGGCTCCTTGAAGTCCACCAAGACGGAGAGAATCGCGTCTTGTTCACTGCGCAAGTCCTTCTTCTCCTTGATACTCGTGCGGCGCGACTTGACTGTCACAAACCCACTCATGTCTTCGTTCGGACCCACGGGGGGATTCGACACGACGACGGCATTGCCGACCTTGTGCAATTCCGCCTTGGCTTGCGTGGCCGAGCCTCGGTGAGTGATGCGAGCGGGCACAAACACGTACGGGTCCAACAGGATCTCCATGATTTCCCGCTTTTCCTTCTTCTGGGCGTCCGTCAGAGAGCTGCGACGGGTCAACAGGGCCGGCTTCTGCTGAGGCTGGGCGGCGGCGGCCTTGGGAGCCGCAGGTTGGACTTTCGCAGGAGCCGACTTGGGTTTCTGTGGCGCCTTGGCCTTTTGACCGGCAGGCTTCTTGAACGCCTGCTTCGGCGCGGCTACAGCAGACCCACCAGGAGTCAGTCGCGACAGCGTGCACGGGGGTCGCAAGTACTTTTGTTGCGGGGTTTCCAGTCCTTGCCAGCATCGTCCAGCAAGATGTTGAGGATTTGCTGCTGCTCCACCTGTTGAGCCTGGGTCAGCGGCGCACGCTTGACGAGGGGCTTGGGGGCCGTCTGCGATGGCGCAGCTTTCTGCGCAGGGACCTTCAGGGCAGCAGCCTTCTGTTGCTTCACGGGGGCCTTCTGCTGCTTACCACCCTTTTGCTTGGTGGCGTGCTTGGGAATAGGCTGCTTGGGCGCTACAAACCAACACAACATGAGCCGTCCAACCCCTGCCTCGACGACGTCCGTACTCTTGTCACGGGGCTTCCAATCCTTGCCGGCGTCGTCCAGCAAGATGTTGAGGATTTGCTGCTGCTCCACCTGTTGAGCCTGGGTCAGCGGCGC